TGCAATCTCTTCCCAGTGCTCCTGGTGGCAGTTGCAGTGGAGGCTAAGCTGGTCTGTACTGGGAGGGCACGGGGCACCAGAAAAGCACTGCAGTAGTTGCAGAGCAGGCAGGAGCATGACCAGACCTGTGTAGCATTGCACCCAGCCCAGTTAGCCCTGCTGAGGTTTCCCTTTGGAAATTTTTGGGGGCTTTTTGTGCCGGAGCCACTGCAGTGTGTTGCCCAGGTACCTGCATTTGGGGTTTGCTGTGGGCAACAGCTCCCACTGCCACACTGTGAAGCAGCTGAGCTCTCAAATCCCAGCAAAACCACCATGAATTTATGCACTTGCATCAGATGGGCTTAGGTGCAAAGACTCTGTCCGAGTGGTAAGAGTACAATGAGACTGCAGTAAGATTTGTGGTTCAGGGACTTGTGCCAGACTGCCACACTTGCCAGCCAAAGTGCCAATTCCTCTTTACCCAGAGTGCTGATATACATATTACAAAGCAATCTCGCTGATAGATGCTTCAAATCTAAAATGAGCAGTGAAACAGTCCCTCTAAACATGGATGTGTTGTTCATGAAGGATGTATGCTGAGGCCAGCAGAGCTCCAAACATGCTTTAATTACAGCTCTGGGTGACGTTGCTGACAGAGATGTAAGACCACTGTGTTTTGTCTTTTAAGCTCTATAGGCTCATTAAGAAATTAAAACATTTGCGGGTCTTTCGTGCTGTCTTTCTCCCCCTGGGATGTTTAAGTTAGCTGACTGTCAGCGTGGTGATGCAGGCTGTAAAGGTTCAGAGAATTACCTTGATGGTATGATGGCCTCTTCTATTTCCACTGCAATGCAAGGCTTATTTTTCCTCTGAGGCGTTCATTGAAATTCTGTGCATGATTTGTTCCTCTGGTTGTTTAACAATGTCTCTCATGTTTGCCCTGATTTTAAAAATCCTCCTTTGTAGCAGAGATAACATAGAGCAGGATGATATAATTGCAGTAAAGAGGCCCTGGAGCTTGCAGTAATAGGATGGTTCATCTGATGTGTACTGCCATTAGAAAATAACCCACGTATGTATGTTCTCAGGGGACAGTAAAGAGGCTTTTAAGGATTACACTTCATGTAGTATGAAAGCTAATGAGCAAAATAGCAAGTATGAAGAAAACTCTTGCTGCAGAAAGCGTGGTGCCATTTCCTGTTCTCACTTCTTTCCTGACGCTTGTGTTAGCTCCAGAATGTCCATCTCTGCCCAGCGATGCCTGGCTTTTCATGCACTGCAGTTGGTTCCCAAGACTTTGGAGAACACTCTGTTATTTCCGTGTCATTGAAAAGTAAATAACATGTCAAAAGCATGGCAGAGCTGAGTTGAGGATTGAAACTGTGTGTGCGCAAAATAAATAAATCTCTGATAGTCTGTGCCCTCAAAAGAAAAGAAATAAAAAAAAGATAGATTTGCTAGAATGATATAGTTTCATGAACATTGGGAAAGGTTGATATATTAAGACTATCAGTTATGCAGAGTCTCAATTCTCCCACCTCCGTTCTGTTCCTGGCCAGTGCGCAAAAGCATATGAAGACATCAGCACACAGTAAACACTGAAGGATCTGTTTCAGATGTTATGTGGCATGCAGAGTCAGAGTTGCAGAATTTGGGCTGCAAAGGTAGGAAATTCAGAGCAGCTGATTTCTGTTATTAACGACTTCTTGTTCAAGTGGATTGCCACGTACAGAGCCAGTTCCTTCCCCTTGCGTTTGCACTGAGACAGAAGCCGTCTGGCAGAACGGACTTGGGCTGCTGTGTTTTTCTTGCTTGTAGAGCTTGTTGCAGGTAAAGAAATTAATTCATCTTTTAATTCTCTGTACCCCCTCTGCACTGTTGGAGTATATTTTTGTACCTTGTCAGGTTTTTATGTTCAGTGAAATGGATGAACTTGCATCTTTCTTCATATATTTAATATCGTGAAGGGACAGACTTTGCTATCAGGTAAAGTGAAGTGGCTTCACTTGAGCTTCAGAGCCTTGAGGAGGATGCTGGCTTTTGACCAAATGCTGTGCTGTGGTTCTGCAACAAGTTCTGACATGCATAGCTTCATTGGATGCTAAACTGATCGTTAAAAAAAAAATATCCATTAATATTAAGTGAGGAAGAGATGACAGCCAGCATCTTTGCAAGGATACAAGCAGGCAAGTAACGTTCTTAAACATCTCTGTTCCATTTGCAAGTGAAGGGAACAAAGGTCAGGAGACCACAGCACCTCCTTTTGAGCCAAAGAAGTAACTTCATTTCCCTTAACGGCAAAGAAGATTCAGGAGACAATGTGATCAGATTCTTACTTTAGTACCTCTTTGCTCCCCTGTAATCACACTGGAAGTGTGTTAGAATGCACGTGAAGTATTTTTTCTCCTTGTATTTAGACCCCTCTGCGGTCAGAGCATTGCATAGGGCTCACAGAGGGAGTAGGAAAGGTCTTCTCCTGACTTTCAGGGCTGTAAGCAGGATTCTGCTTGTTGGGACAGGGGTGAGGAGTGCACATGCCATACGGGCAGGAGAAATTGCTGAACTCTTTGAAGAATACTGAGATTGTTAAAATAATAACCCATAGCCTAGTGAACCTCAGCTCTTAACCCATTCCCTTTTTGTGTTCCTGCACCTAAAACATAGAGTCGTTGTGCCGTGTGCTAAGCAGTGCGGGCTAATACAGAGGAAATTTTCAGGGCAGAGGTACATGTTATTCTAATACCCCTATGAGATGATGCCTACATGTTCAACATAAGGGTAGATATTGAGTCATTTTCTTCGGTTTTTGTTTCACTTTGATAGTCATGTCTGTATTGGGCAATAAATTCGTCATATTTGGAGAATGCGGAGCACAAACTTGAGGTGAAGAGACAACTGTACGTTCAAACATACAGTAGAGTATCAGCAGTAGTCTGACTAAAGTAATAGTAATGCAATTATCTTTATTAGAGATAACAGGAGGGCTTCTCTCCACTTAACCCCCATGGTGTGTCTGCTTCTGCAGAGCACCAGTCCATTGCCCTGTTCCAGTGCATCATAGTCCAACTCTGTGAGCCCAGAACCTGATGTTTGATTGCATTCCCCAATTCAATGTCACTTGATCCCTCATCTACCATAAATCTATGGTTCATTACAACATCTGGGACTTACTCTGACAAGCGCAAATGCCATGAGATTAATTATCTGTTGTTTCTTCCCCTGTCAGTTGACTCCTCTCTGCTTAGACTTCTTGCAAATACCAGAATAGTAGTGATCATTTTTTTTTATTTCTGTCATTTCTCTCCCTTCCCCCCAATAATTGATATACAGAAGAGCAGAAGAGGACTTGCAATTTTATTATGGCTGTATAAGCCTTCTGTAAACTCAGTTACAGCACTGCTGATGTTGGTAATTTCTGTGACTAAAAAATATGCTGACACTGTGTTTGTGCATAGGAAGGGAGAAAATTTGAATGTAAAATATTCTGGTGCATTTGGGAGATATTTGATATTATATCCCAGCCAAGTTAATCACACATGGAATTAATTTTTTATTTTGTTCAGTTGACTGGAGACATTAATCTCATATCTGTGGAAAGGCATCTTTAATGCCAAAAAATTGATCAGAGATACCTGACATTTCTCTGGCATCAGAAAAGATTTTGAAGGAAAGCTGTCCATAGACTGGCAGAAACAGAGACATTAGTTACTTTATTTTTTCTTACATAATGAAGAAATACCCAGGTGATGATTTCCAATTCGTCGAGTATATTGAACCATGTACTGTATTCATGAATATAAATTGAGCAGACGTGACATACATTTTTCATATAAAAATAACGCAGCATTGCTCCTTCTGATAATTCTTTTCCTGAAATATGCTTATTCTGAGAACATCACTACAGAGTTAATAGTGCACTGCATAACTGCATGTTAAAAAATACGAGTGCTAAAGGACACGGAATGTCTTAAGGAGGATTTATTCATAGATTTATAATGACTGTGCTGGCTGCATTTTTCAAGGGCAGGATCTTTCTGCATCTTCCTTTTTTTTCCCCCACTTTTCCTGCAAAATTCTTCATCTCTAAATAGTAGCATCACCCAGCCAACCCACTTCCATCCGGCAGGGCTCGTTCTCGGGCTGGATGGTGTCGCTGCCAAGCAGCACAACACTCGTGCTTCCCTTCCCATCCATGTTTCTGCCTCGTTAGCAGCTCCGCTCTCCAGATCATCCAGACTTTGCCCATTTCTCAATTAGTCCTAGAGGAGCCGTCCCAGCAGAGAATTTGCAATGTTGTGATGACTTTGATTGAACACAGAGCCAATCGCAGATTGAAACAGAAGCATCAACTTCTCATCCCTGTGCAGTCAATCGTGTGTCAGCAGCGTTCCCACCGAGCAACTTGGAAGACCAGACACTCCTTGATTTATGGTTTTCCTCTTTTGCCAAACACAAAACTAGTAGAGTGACCCTTCTATGCTTTAATAGTATGAAAAACCTTGCAAGTAGGAGCCAATGTGTATACAGATGTTCTTCTTGACTAAACAAAGCTTTCTTTGTTTACACAGTGCTAGGGAGCTGCATTATGAGAAAGGTTAGAGGGTAAGATAAGAAACATGACCTGAAAGAAAACTCCCAGATTAGGCTGTGAAGGCCAAATGCTGGTGTTTCTGAAGTCGGTGGGAGTTTTTCTGGCCTCTGAGGAAGCGTCCGGAAGGCAGCAGCACCCTGTGTCTGCTCAGGGCTTTGTCATCCTGCACTGCAGTCAGGCATCCCTCTAGGTGGTCTCTACTCCAGGGTTGAAGAGCATGAGGAAAGTGTGCTACCCGCTCGTGTCAGCCTGCCAAGGCTGTCAACTCACACCATTTGTTTATTCCCCTTCCCTTTTCCCTTCCAGAAACGCTTCTCTAGAAACAGAGCAACTTTTTGAAGAACATGGGGAGAAACGATGGGATCATTCTTTAGAAGGGTTTTAATTTTGCCCCTACAAGCGACAGGGTATTTGAAAAACGTCTTTCTTCTTCCAGGGTACCAGCCTGTCCTGCCGAACCAGCAGCAGGGGTTCCAGGGTCTCATGGGAATGCAGCAGCCACCCCAAAGCCAGAGCCTGATGAATAATCAACAGGGAAATCAGGTGCAAGGCATGATGGTGCAGTATCCAGCCATGTCGTCTTATCAGGTACTTGGGAGCGTAAAGAAACACGGCTTTCCTTGGAAAGTGCTTCATTGAATTAAGTTCTTGTATTGCAGAATGGTCTTTATTACTTCCTTAGGACAGTGTGTGGCAGGAGGCTTCTTGATAAATATGCTTCTAAGTCAAATGAGGGGGGTTTTTTTGCTTCCTGTTAACATATTAGTACTCTCAATTTTCATTCTGAATTGGGAATACTTCAAATGAACTATTTATTACAGCCTGCAGTGAGGATAAAATGTCACAAAGGATGAAGGAATTATACTTCTTCCTGTGAAGAAAATGAACTTAAAATATAAAAGATGGAACATTGTTGGGTTGTTGGTTTTTGGTTTTTTTTTGACAGTGCAGTATTGTTTCCTGTAATGAAATTGAGGGCTTTGCCTGATCCAGTTAAAGATTACTCATCTGTGGAGACTCCTGCCAAGGCTCTCACCATGTCTGCTATAACAAGCTGTTGCCAGATAGATTTTTGTTTATTGGGTTTTGGGAAGAGGGAAGGCAGTGGCTTGATTTTTACCAAGTCTGTAACTTATTTCCCCATCTTTATACCTGGTTTTTGTGAGATATGCCAAGAGCCTGTGACAGGTGGCCTGTGCTTAGGTTTCCTGCTGGTCCCTCAGGAAAGTTAAGAAGCTAAATGGCATGTAATTCATTTTAATAGGTTGCACTGATTGAGCAGCCATTCAGCTTTTCCCTCAGCTTCTCTGAAAACACTACAGCAACCCAGCTGGAAATGGGGAAATTGCTTGTGGGTAAAATTTTCCCCTTATATCTTCAGAATTACTATATTGAAAATGTGTTTGAAAGGTTAATGATCAAGTTAAAGGTTTAGACCTTTTAGATGGCCTAGATATACCAGAGTTGAGTCTTCTGTTTGCACTGATCCCAGAAATTAATATTCAGCTAGATCATGACAGAGCCACTTACTAGACCTGGGAGCAGAGGGATTTCTCTTTAAGCCTTCTCTAACAAAGGAAATCCTCAGGGATGAGAACAGTTCTGAGCAGCAGAAAGTGACACATTTTGGCAGAATACGTTGTATACTCAAATTCAGCCAGAAGGAAGTTGGGGATACTCGGGACCTACTTTAATTTGTTTAGTAATTGCTATTTTTTTTCCCCCCTATGTCTCTCCGTATTCCTACCTAGGTGCCAATGACCCAGGGTTCTCAAGGATTGCCGCAACAATCATATCAACAACCAATCATGCTACCTAATCAATCAGGTCAAGGAACACTTACAGCCACTGGAATGCCTGTCTACTGTAATGTCATACCTCCTGCCCCACAGAACAACCTACGGTTGATTGCCCCACACTGCCCCTCCAATAACGTTCCAGTTATTTCTGCCAGCTGCAGGACAAACTGTGCGAGCATTAACAATGCAGGGTGGCAGGTCAAGTACTGACACTGTGGCTTAGTGGATATACGAGGATAGCGGTGCATTATTTGACAAATAACACATGGCCTTCAAATGGAGAGGAACACAACAGGATAATCAGTTGAGGACATAAGTACTGACTATGCTCAAGTGATTTGCTGCTGGAAAAATCTGTAAAAAAAAAATAAAATAAAAATAAAATAAATTTTGAAAAAAAAAAAATGTTTGCTGGTTAATGGTGCATATTTTTGTCATGTCTGCTAGGTATGCCTTTATAGCTTAGCTAGTGACATGAATTCATTGAGGTAAGATTTTTTCCTACCACTGAACACCACTGTGTAGATTGTAATATCCCCGATTCGGATTAGTTTTGTACTTTGTGTTGAGTTTGTGAAGCTAAAAGTATTTAAAAATATAATAAAATCACATTGTACCAAAGCTGTAATGGAAATGAAAAAAAAAAAAAAAAGAAAACAAAAAAGGAATTACTGAATGGAAGGAATAATTTATATACACTATAGAGTTTTTTTATGGATATATACTGTATTGTAGTGCTTAATCACAATAAAGCTATTTGACCTCATGGAGAAAGGTCATGTTTCTACTACCTGCTTGGTCTCTTCTCTGTTTCTGAGTGAGTGAATTTCCCTTTGGTTCTGCATTGTCTTACTTCAGGTGAAGCTCATGGTGGGAATGATGCTTAATGGGCTTATGGGAGTTTGATGAGAAGGCAACATAGCTGTGTCTCAGCATGCTGTACCATAACAGATAAAACTACCTAGAAATTGTAGCGTAGACACCCAGAAACTGTTCAATGAATGGTGTAACGGATCATCTTAAACTGAGTTTGTGCTTTTCCAGTCCCTAGCACCAGTAATGTCACAAACACAATTCACCACTGCTGCAAGCCTCTACTAAGTCATACCTCTTCAAGAAGCCGTACAACAGTTGTATATGAGACACAGATGTCCTATGATATTGCATCCACTGTCTGGAGGATCAGTTGTTATTGATGTAACAACCACAGTACTCAGCAATTCTTGTGCTACATAGAGATACTCTACCCAGTTATTGGTACTCCAGCTATAATGCCATTTTGCAACAAAAAAAAGAATCTGTTCCATCATGTGCAAGTAGTGGGGATGAATAATATATCTGAGGGGGCTGGCTCTTAAAACATGCAGCACAGTGGTTTGCCAGAAATTTTTAGAACTTTGTTTTAATTCCTGTGGCATTTCTCATTATTATCTCCATGTTCACTCAAATTCCCAGCTTGTTCTGATAAATTATTCTTCATTCACAAATGCTGCACGGAGTTCCTCATTCCACTTCCATAATGACAGTATTTGAGTCACAAATGTGTTTACCAGACAAAAGCCTGTGTCTTTTTTTCACTTAAGCTGCATTTTTAATCAGTTTTGAACACCTTTAAAATAGGTGGGAGTTGTGCTCTCCAGAATTATGCGTACACATTATGAAGAAGCCTGAGATCCTTCTGTGTGTAAAACCTCTATGTGTCATAGTATGATTTTAGGTACACTCAAGATGACAGCAGACTATGAGGGGGCCATTGTTAATCTGAATCTTGACCATTGTTAATATGAATGTGAAAGAGCTTTTATTTTAAGACAAGTGGCCTTTCCTTTACGCGCTTCAGCTGTGGAAGCAGGAACTGGAAAGGCTACAACTCATATTTAAAACAAACATTTTTCTTTTCTATACAATGAATGAATATCCTTCAGAGTTCAGTCTTCTTTTTACATATGTGTCTTAAAGTGTGGAATCCAGTCCTATGGGATCATAAGGAAGCCAAACACTGAATTGTATGTAATTGTGTAATCACGATTCATTTGCTGAGAGACAGTCAAGAACATGAGCAGGTAAGTAAACACAATTCACTCTTCAATTAGAGGTGAAATGCCTTGGGACAGCCTGCTGATTGATTTTTTTTTTTTTTCTTCTTTTTTAATCAAGATCCTGTATTTGACTTTTGCCTGTGACCCCGAGCTCTCTTTTTAGATGCTCTGCATTGTATGGTTTATTTCCTTTTAATATTTTACATACTATGGAGGTTTCTCACCTAGTATTACTAAAAATACACATAATTGGGTTTGCTGCTGCTGAATGACTGACAGCTGAATGAATGGGTGTCCTTCTCTGTCTGGGCTCCAGAGTCCAGCAGGAAGGACCTGCAGGTGACCTTGTGCAGGACAGGTTGTGTGTAGTCAGGCTGAACAAGAGGGGAGGGGAGCAAATTACCTTTGGTGATCACTGTATTCAAGTCCTGTTTCTTCTCTTCTCTGAAGCACAACTGTTACTTTATTGATGGTCCTTCTCATCAGAGAACTATGAGTGAATTGCCTGGTAAAAAAAGAAAATCTGCTTTCAGTAGTGATGGGAAGGGAGTCAGAAAGCAAAGCCTAGGACTTGTGCTTCTCTAAAGAGAATCTCCTCATGTTCTCACGCCACTCTTGGTCACGTCCCCTTGGCAAACTGCATATCCCATGACTGACTATGGCCATGAGTTCCCAAGATTTACCTGTCTCTGCCAGTTCACTGACCAGTTTGTATAAAACACGTTGGTAGCTGAGGGAGCAGGCATCCTGCTGACTAACTTTTCTCAGCCTGGTGGCAGCAGCACTGACCTGCACGTTAATGCACCTTCCTGCTGAATTGAGACTCTAAATTTTATGTAAAATTGAGCAGTTTCAGGAGGAAGCCACAGCCACCCACCCCAAAATGGCCTACATCCTCTGATTGTCTCACTCTCCAAAGAGTTTGAATCTCCTTAGGCATACGAGGAAACTGAATTTGATCTCCCTCAGCTATGGAGAATGCCCTAATTATTAAGGTATTATATACATGGGGGAGACATCTCACATGGTGGTGCACATATTTGCTTTATGCTGGAAGAATTTATATTTGAAGACAAGTAATTCTCTTTCTATATCAAGCGAAGCACAAAAAATATTCTCTAATATTTTTTTCATCATACAATATTTTTAATTCTTTCTCCTAAAATTTTTGTTCACTAACAAAAATATTCTGAGCTGGATTGCCTAGCAGCCTTCTGCTATTAAACCAGAGATGTTTCAGCATAGTCAGAAGGTGAGGAGGAGGAAAAGAGAAGTGACATGCAAATACACATAACAAAAATGTATAGGTGAAACTTGTCGCTTTCTTCTCAGCCCTTTGAAATATTTTGTAGTCAATCTCCATAAGGGGAGTGCTGTTAGACTCACCTGCACAAAACTGGTGCAAGCAACCTTGAATTCAGAGTCCAGCTCCTAGCAGTGAAATGATTTACAGTATGTGTTCCTCTCCTATGGGGTTGCTCTATCACAGTGGGCTTGTTTTCCTCTGGTCTTCCTTTGAAATTTGTCAGGCTCAGGCAGCTCCCCATAACCCCCCTGTTGTGGTGCTAGGGATTGTTTGTTGTGTTTTTCCCTTTACTTACTTCATACTTTCTTTGGTAGTTGAATAATGCTTTCTCCTTCTTTTTTATATCCTGAAGCTGATGGAAAGTTCTCCCAAGGCCCTGTATATATTTAATTTGCTACTGGGTTTTTTTTGTTTTTGTTTTTGTTTTTTAATTTATATGGCACTGAGAAACCAAAGAGGCATATCCTGAATTAAGCTGACTGCATCAGATGATGCTGATCAGCTTTTTGGATGGGTCTAATTAATCTGGGCTGTAATTTGCAGAGGCTGCATGTCCTAACAGAAGCCAGATGCTATTTGCTATTGTTTTGCCCTTTGTGCTGCCCAAGAAGTTGATGATTTGCTTCTAAAACTGTATTCCCTTATGTTTCTGTTTAACACTGTGTGACCAGCTTCCTGTACTGAAGGAAGACTGCTAAATTATCCCAGCAGCAAGGAACAGAAATGTGCAGGGTGGCTGGAGCATGCCCAGAGCATCTTGCTCACTGCCCTTTTTGCTGCTCTCTAGCGTGATGACCTGCCCTGGTGTGGTCATTGAGTGCTTCAATGTGATTGTTTGACTGGTGTTCCCAAAAGTGATGCAAAATGGACACTGGTCAGTGTCCTTTCAGCCCTGCCATTTGCAAGGCTGGTGAGCTGTGGCATGTATTGTCCCTTTGGGCTAACTGTGGAGAAACCAGTTTGCTCCCTCAACCCTCGTCAGAGAGGCTCTGGTGGAGGGTGATGCTCACTCAAGGCTGCGAGCTGTCTCCCAGAGCTCCTCTCTTGACTGGCAAGAGGGAGACTGAGTTCCCTTAGTCTTCAGGAATATGCCAATCATGCTTAGCCCAGAGACTACGTTTCAGAAATGCTCACAGCTTCAACATCTGCTTAACTCAGAAACACATTTCTGGTGTAGGACCACCATCTAGTTTTGGGCAGTGGCCCTCTTAGGGCAAACAATGAGCCAGGCTCTGACTAGTGTTTTGACAGCCTCAAGCACTACCCAAAGCTGCCTGGCAGGCAACAGAAATGCCTTGAGTGTTTTGGAGGGAAAGAAGCCTTGCTGCATGCACATTGCCTGTGCCTACCATAATATGGGTGATGCAGCTGGTTTGGGGATGCCTGCTCCCAAAACAGGGTGAAAGATCCCCATTTCTATTTTAATTTCTGCCCCTGGTTCACTGTAAGAATTGACTCTCTTCCCTGCTGCTTTCTTTCATTCTTCAGGAAAGTGGCTATAATGAGCCTTTGAGGCAGTAGACTAATGGTTAAATAATTAATGTCACACAGTGTTTCTGAGGACAGTTGGCCCAGCATTCAGTGAGTAGCATGAACTTCTGCTCTACTGCTATGTGTTTTGCAGAGAGTGGCTTTGGGTTGCATACTGCTAAAAATACTGCTTTCCAGTGCATGTCAAGAGGGGGAAATCAAACCCCTTCCTTCTGGCTCTTCTTACAATATCCCACCAACTGTGGAAGGGGATGACTCCTCATTCCCTCTCCTCAAGGCTTATTAAAACAACAGTATCCAAACAGAGAAAACAGAAGAGCAGCTCTTTTTTCTCCATGTAGACAATCATCTGTGGCATTCCTTGCTGCAGGATGTTAGGTGTGCTTTCAGAAATGGACAGACAAGGTTAGAGAAGAAAGCTGTACTGAAGATTGTTAAATACAAACAGCCAATTCACAGAGGCAGAGAACAGCCTAAAGAAATGTCACTCTATCATTGCCCCATTCTTAAACCTTTCCCCGGACTAATTAGGGATGAGCATTGGACTGGGAATGAACCTCTGGCCTGACTGAATATGGCAGTTCTGTAAAGCAATATTTGTTACCCAGTATTTAATAAGCAAATTAAAAAAAAAAAAAAAAAAAAAAGAAATAAATTGGTATCACCTGACAGAGTCCATCCTGTAACAAAACCCCTAAGTATCAGAAGGAAGAGGGGAGGCAAACCTTGGGTTAATTTTCTTCAGTTTATCTAGTGTCAATTGCCCCATCTGCAAGAGGAACTATAACTGGCCTTACACAGCTGCTTCTTCTGCTATTCAGAGTAGGATGTTAATACCATGTTGAGGATGAAATAAACCTTCCAGTGGGAAGGGAAGTGCCTCATGATCATTCCATCATCTTTCATTTCTTCTTTATAGCATATAATTGTTCATTATTGTTGTAAAGGTTA